TTAAATTTATACAAGAATACTTTCAATTGGAAAATAATACTGCTAAAAAATAAAGGTACCATTTTATAAACAAAAGATTTTCCTCCTTAGAAAGTAAGGCCTTTCTCATAGTTATTAGCCAATAATAAAAAAATAATTAGAAGAATGAATAAAGTATAACCAAGTTAAAAAAAAGAAAATGAATAAATAAAGAACATCAATTTCTTAAAACATCATTTACGTCATACACTGAATTATCACTATTACTCTCAAATAGTTTGTTCAACCAGTTGGGAAAATCTTTAGATGAGTTAAAGATGTTAGGCAATAAAAAGTTTAATAGTGCCCGTAACTCCTCAAGATTAGTCTGCATAAATAAAAAAGAGTAAAAATTACTCAATATGACAGATCAATGAGTCCATATCAAAAAAGAACACTACGTTTGTAAATTGCCGTCTCAGTAAAAATGCTTGTTTTTTCTTGTGGGGAAGACAAGAACAATCTGGTTACATTTGGTTCATAGGTTTAGAACCATGATTCAGAATCATTCTTAATTTACGTGTATTTTTTGTGAGAGAAAACACTGTAGCGAGCTACGAACCATAATATGAATCATGGCACGAATTCTTGCTCCAAACACATAGTTTTTACGTTTAATGAATTTTTTATTCTTTTTCTTATAGTACCAGTTAACAACGACTTTAGTGGTCAAAGGGACACGCGGATCCACTAAAACCACAAATTAAGATACGGATCTAGCGAACTCGCTAAGCGTAGAATCAAATATGGCCAACTCAGATCTACAAATCCGGCGAACTCAGAACTCGGCGAACAGAGCTGCATGAGGACGACAACAAAGAGAGAGGACGACAACAAGGAGAGAGGTCGACATCCAGCGTTTGTCTCCAAGCGTGGGAGACGCTATTGCGAGATATCCAACGAGATCTTGCACTAAGGAGAACCAGCGTTGCTGCCTGTTAGAGATTCAGCGTCGAAGCAGTGATGAGTGAACGGAATCTCAGACGACAACAAGAGGGGACTTCGATGTCAATGGAGGTACAATGACGATGATGAGAGGAGACTCACGAGCTGCAGCTTCAACGACCAAACCTCTGATGAAGAAAGACTGCTTCTTCTTCTGTTTAACATATGCACAATTTTGAGAGAGAGAGAAGAGATTGAGAAAGAAAAAGGAAAAGAAAAAAATAGAAAAAAGGTAAATTTGAAAATAAAAAAATAAAAAATAAAAAATGGTCTATTAATTTTCATAAATTGATAAATTGGCCCATTTACCGCCACAACTTTTAAGTTTAGAACTATTTCCTACAATTTGTCTAATCTATTTCCCCTCTCTATTATGCCCTTGTAAAAATTCCCATACAAAACTCTTCTCGCCCAAAAAAAAAAAAATGTATATACTTTGAGCTTGAACACTTCTCCATTTTTTTTCTATGAAATTCGTCTAATCTTCCTCCGATGGCGAACCAGTCTTCGTCCAATCCAATCCTTTGCGCTTCGTTCAATCAGGACTCCAGGTATTTAACATGTAATTTCAACTTTAAAAACAGGAATTTTCAGAAAAGTTCTTTCCCTTTTCCTCGGAGAATTATGGGGATTTCTATTTTCTCGGGAAACAAACGGAGAGTTTTGATGAATTTGTGCTTGTATATGTAAAGAATGGAGTCTTAATGGGACCGAATTTTGCAGTTGCTTTGCGATTGGCACAAAAGATGGGATCAAAATATTTGATTCTAATACCGGTAGACTCTGTTACGAACGAGGCAAGTAATCTATTTTCCCTCGTTATCAGTCCCTTATAAAATTTCCTTAATTGAGCTTTTTTACTTTTATTTTTGATATTATTATGTAAGTTATCTGTTTTTAGGCTTAGTTATGAATATATATATATATATATATATATATATATATATATTTTTTTTTTTTTCTCGTTCTGTGTTGATTCTTGAGTTTTATAAAATTGATTTACTGTTTTATTCATCACCAAGTTGTTATTTGGTCTGCTGATTATTGGTATGCTTGAAAGTGTACGAATTTATTGTTTGAATATGAGTTTGTTGAATCAAAGTTAATGAAAGTGTTCGATTCTCTTACAGCCATTGGGGCTTTCAGTATTGTTGAAATGCTGTTCACCTCTAGTCTACTAGCCATTGTTGGAGCTGGTGAACAGGTGCTTTCTTATTTCACATGTTTTGCACTTGAAGATTTTTTGTAATTGCAATAGCATTTTTAGTTTCTTTGCGCGATGGCTATTTAATAAATATATTTTCTTCTTTTGTTTGATTCCCACAGCCATCGTTATCCCCTCGCCGTCTCTGTTTGTTCAATACAATGACTGGAGCTGCTCTCCGAGAATTGAATTTCTTAACTTCAATACTAGCCGTTCGCATGAATAAGAAAAGGTACAGTATCCATAAAGACTGATGCTGAAGTTGAAAAACAATTTTGTATTTGTTTTATTTCTCCCGGACAGATTATGTTGACATAGTGAGGAAATTGATGAAGATGAATATTTTATTCCTCTTACTTACAAACGTATTGTACAGCCCTTTTTGCAGATGAAAATACATCTAGTAATTAGGAAAGACAACCTATCAAAATTCTAATAATAGTAAATACTAAAAAAAAAAAAAAAAAAGACGAAAGCACTCCTAAAGAGAATGGGGGAACATTTTACCCAATATTTCTGAGATATAGAGCTAATCTAGGCAATAAAAAACTGCTTGAGAGCTGTAAAGATAGCTGTAAGAGGAACAAATTAGCTGATTGACAGCTGTAAATATACAAAAAATTAGAATATTCTACACTCCCCCTCAACCTGAGCTATAAATATTGATTAAGCCTAGCTTGGAGTTCAAATCTTCAAAGTTTTGTTCTTGGTAGGGCCTTAGTGAGAATGTCCGCTATCTGAAGACTAGATGGCAGATGTAGTAACTTGATTACTCCTTCTTCTATCTTTTCCTTTATGAAGTGGCGGTCAATTTCCACGTGCTTCGTCCTATTATGATGCACTGGGTTCTTTGCGATACTGATAGCTGAATGATTATCATTGAACATCTTTATAGGTTCTTTAGTCACGATCCTTAACTCCTTTAAAAGTCTTCTCAGCCACATACCTTCACATATGCCATGTGCCATTGCTCTGAATTCAGCCTCTGCACTGCTTCTTGACACAACAGATTGTTTCTTACTACACCATGTGACTAAATTTCCCCATACATATGTGCAGTAGCCGGAAGTTGATCTTCGATCTCCTATTGATCCAGCCCAATCAGCATCATTGTATATCTCGATGTCTTTGTCAGTTGATTTCCTAAAGTACAAGCCCTTTCCTAGTGTTAGTTTTAAGTACCTCAGAATCCTATAGACTGCTTCCATATGTTCTTCATTTGGATTGTTCATGAATTGGCTCACCACACTAACAGAGAAACCAATGTCGGGTCTTGTGTGGGATAAATATATAAGTTTTCCCACAAGTCTCTGATATCTGCCTTTATCAACCGGTGCACAGTCTTCTTTAGTTCCTAGTTTTGTTGTTAAATACATGGGGGTATTTGCTGGTTTGCATCCGAGCATTCCTGTTTCTTTCAGAAGGTCCAAGACATATTTTCTTTGAGAGACTGAAATTCCTACTTTTGACCAAGCTATTTCCATTCTGAGAAAATATCCGAGGCTTCCCAAATCTTTGATTTCAAATTCCTTGGCTAGTAGACTCTTGAGAATACTTATCTCCTGCGTGTAATCTCCTGTTAAAATAATGTCATCCACGTATACAATAAGAATGGAAATTCTCCCTTCAGGTGAATGTTTAACAAAGAGAGTATGATCTGCCTGACATTGTACATAGCCCTACTGCTTGATTACCCTTGTAAAACCTATCAAACCAGGCTCTTGGGGATTGTTTGAGTCTGTATAAAGATCGTTTCAGCTTGCAAACTTTGTTGATTGTGGCTTGTGTCTCAAATCCAGGAGGAATGCTCATGTATACTTCTTCTGCCAAGTCTCCGTTGAGAAAGACATTCTTGACATCTAATTGATGGAGCAGCCAGTCTAAATTTGCAGCCAGAGATTGAAGGACTCGAACTGTGTTCAGTTTGGCTATAGGAGCGAAGGTTTCTTCATAATCAATTCCATAGGATTGTGTGAATCCTTTTGCAACGAGTCAAGCCTTGAATCGATCAACAGTTCCATCTTCTTTGTATTTAACTGTGAAGATCCATTTGCAGCATACATGTCGCTTTTCAGGTGGTAGTTTTGTGATCTTCCACGTTCCATTCTTCTCTAGAGCCCGAATCTCTTCTTCAATAGCAGCCTTCCATTCTGGTATTTCGAGGGCTTCTTGTATGGATTTAAGAATTTGTGTATGGTCCAAACTTGCCACAAAAGCCCCGTAGTTATTAGATAGCCCCTGATATGACACAAAGTTATAGATTGGGTTCTTCGTGCATTCTCTTACACCCTTTCTAACTGCAATAGGAAGATCACTATCTTTGGAAGATTCGGGATTAGGGTTACCTTGTGGATCTTTTAGCCTTAAATCCGGTTCCAATTCTTGGATCTGCTGAAGAGGTGCTTGTTGCTCTATCTCCCTTTGGTTCCTTTTCCTTCTAAAATAGGTAGTGCTAAAGTCCTTGTTGTTTTTGGATTGGGTAGTGTCTGGGGAATGGAGACTTGAGATTTCACGGTTGTGGATTGGCTGAATAACGGTTGGAGAAGAAGGTCTTGGGAGCTTAGGCAATTCAACAGGTGGTGAATCAAGGTATGGAACAGTTGGTTCATTTTGGTGAGTAGGGATAGTCTCTATCTGGATATTGACCGGATTTGATGAAGTGTGGGGAATGTCTAGGGCACTGATCTCCGTATTACAATCCCAAAGCTAATATTCTTGTGTAAAACTGCTCTCCCTTGAATGTCAGATTTGGAGTAATATGGCTGATGTTCAAAAAATGAAACATCCATAGAGTTATAGAATTTCTGTGGTTGGAGAATAACACTTATACCCTTTTTGATGAGGGGAGTACCCCAAGAAAATACACTTAACGGCTCTAGGATCAAGTTTTCCCCGGTGTTGGCTATGGATGTGAACAAATGTAGAGTAGCCAAACAGTTTGAAAGGAATGGAAGATATGAGATGTGTGGTTGGATATGTTTTGAGTAGGGTTTGACATGGGGTCTGGAATTTTAGGACTCGAGAAGGCATTCTATTGATGAAAATACATCTAGTAATTAGGAAACACAGCCTATCAAAATTCTAATAATAGAAAATACTAAAAAAAAAAAAGGAAAGCACTCCTAAAGAGAATCGGGTAACATTTTACCTAATATCTCTGAGATATAGAGCTAATCTAGGAAATAAAAAACTGATTAACAGTTGTAAAAGACAGTTGTAAGAGGAACAAATTAGCTAATTTACAGCTGTAATTATACAAAAAACTAGAATATTCTACACATAGAGATATATTATCTGTTTTTTATTGAGAATTTGTAATATTTATGGAGGGTTTTTATGGTTTCACGTAGAATCAAAATTTAAAGTACATGGTGTTGAAATCCCGAATTTATTGCTAGGGATAAGGTTCTCGATTCAGGATAGAATGTTTCCTGATTTGATTTAATTTAAACAGAGCACTTTCTTAATCTCTAGGCCTTAGTTTTAGGAGATTTGATTTTCATAGTTGTATTATAAATTAGGAGCCTTAACGTACCGAATTATTGATTCAATATAGAAAACAGAAAGCAATATTTCAGCTTTCATGGTGTCAGAGCTAATGAGTGTCTAACCTTGGCGATCGATGGTGAAGTCCACGTCCTCAGAGACCACAGGCGAGACAACGACAGAGGTCATCAACACCATGGCGTCGAACGGATATGAGAACTCCACCTTCCAATTCACAGTTGAGAAACTCAACGGGAAGAATTTTCTCGAATGGGCTCAATCAATTAAATTGGTGATCGATGGAAAGGGAAAACTGGGGTACCTCACCGGTGAAACAAAGAAACCATCCTCCACTGATGCTTCTCTGCAGAAGTGGAAATCAGAAAATTCGATGGTAACTGCGTGGCTGGTCAACTCAATGAAGCTTTCAATTGGAAAAACCTATATGTTTCTACCAACCGCAAAAGAAGTCTGGGATGCCGTTTGAGAAACATACTCGGATGTGGAGAATTCTTCCCAAATTTTCGAGATAAAAACTCGGTTATGGCAGATGAAGCAAGAAGAGAGGGAAGTCATTGAATATTACACAGAGATGAAGGCTTTTTGGCAGGAACTCGATCTGAGTTATGAAGAAGAAATGCCCTGGCGACAGCGTGCGATTCAAGAAGAGGCTGGAGAACGAGAGAGTTTTCGAGTTTCTGGCTGGACTCAACCGTGAGCTAGATGAGGTAAGGGGAAGGATCCTTGGTCAGAGACTGCTGCCCTCCATCCGTGAAGTCTTCTCAGAGGTGAGACGAGAAGAAAATAGGCGCAAAGTAATGCTGAAAGCCCCCTCTGGACTGACTGGTTCTGAACTCGAATCCTCTGCGCTGCTGACTAAGAGGGCGCCGAATGGACCAGGCCAGAGTTGACAAAGGAAAAAACCCTGGTGTGAGCACTGTCACAAAACCGGTCACACCAAGGATACTTGCTGGGATTTGCACGGAAAACCACCCGATTGGAAGCCACGACAGATGAACAAAAATGAAGGATATCAAGCCTCGGTTGATGATCAGAAGGAGAGGAAGATGGATGCCAGCAGCAGTGAGTCTCAAGCCAATACTCCATTCAGTCAGGAACAAATTGAACAACTTTATAGGATGTTCTCAAATTTTCAATCTACTAGTCAGTGCTCCAATAACGTACCTTCTGGTACATTAGCCCACAGAGGTAATTTTTTAAAGGCCTTGAGCACTACTTCCCAAAACAGAATTCCATGGATTGTCGATTCTGGTGCGTCTGATCATATGATCAGTAATTATCATATTTTTTCCACATACTCACCCTGTGTCGGCAACATCAAAGTGAAAATTGCATATGGTTCACTCTCGACAGTTGCAGGAAAAGGGACAGTAAAAATCTCCGATTCTGTAACCCTAGAATCCGTCCTTCATGTCCCAAACTTGTCTTGCAATTTATTATCAATTAGCCAATTGACAAAAGATTCCAATTGCTCTGCTAAATTTGTTCCCTCTCACTGTGTTTTTTAGGACCTGTCATCGGGGAGAATGATTGGCAGTGCTAAAGAATATGAGGGACTCTACTACTTTGATGAGGCTCAGGCGAGTGGACAGCTTCAAACTACAATTTGTGATTCTGCATCTACTTCTAGGAATAGTGAAATTATGTTATGACATTTTAGAATGGGTGAGCCTAGTTTCCAGTACATGAAATATTTGTTTCCTTCTATATGTTCCAATAAAAATATTTCCGATTTTCAATGTGAAATTTGTCAGTTTGCTAAGCATCAACGTACTTCATTTAAAAAATCAAAGTATAAACCTTCAAAACCATTTACCATGATTCACAGTGACCTATGGGGTCCTTTTCGTATTTCTACTCGTACTTACACAAAATGGGTTGTCACATTTATTGATGATCATAATAGAACTTGTTGGGTCTACCTTCTGAAAGACAAAACGGATGTCCGTGAAGTGTCCAAAAATTTTTACTCCATGGTTCAAACGCAATTTCAAACTCGAATTCAAATTTTGCGAATATATAATGGGACGGAGTATTTTAACACTATCTTAGGGGATTTTCTAATGGCAAATGGAATAATTCACCAAAGTTCCCGTGTCGACACTGCCCAACAAAATGGAGTAGCCAAACGGAAAAATAAACACTTACTTGAGGTTGCCCGAGCATTGATGTTTACTGCTCATATGCCTAAAATGTTATGGGGAGATGCTATCTTAACATCTTCCTATCTTATCAATAGGATGCCTAGTCGAGTCCTATCCTTTGAAACTCCACTCAATACTCTAAAGAAAGCCTTTCCCACTTCACGCCTACCCTCAACTTTACCCCTCAAGGTGTTTGGCTGTACCACATTTGTTCACGTCCACTCTCAGAATCGAAGTAAGTTAGATCCTAGAGCTACTAAGTGGGTCCTCATTGGCTATTCCCCTACACAGAAGGGCTACAAATGCTTTGACCCCTCCACAAAAAGGGTATTCGTTAGTCTTGATGTTACCTTCTTTGAAAGCACTCCGTTCTTCTAAAAAACTTCTCTTCAGGGGGAGATCTCTAATGAAGATCGTTTTGTGGACTTTGAACTTCTTCTTTCTGAGTCTATCCTAAACACCGAAAACACCACCACCTTTCCTTCTCATTCCAATATGCCATATACAGACGGACACTTGAACTCAGGGGGAGATGTGGGAAAGCAAAATAACAGGGAGCTGCTTGTCTACTCAAGAAGGCCAAAGTCAAAATATCAAGACAACCTCACTTCCGAAGCACCAAGAGAATCCAACCCGGATCCAGGTATGACCGAGATCATCACAGAAGAAGGTATCTCTAATACCCCTGAAATTCCTGATATTGATGTTCCCATAGCTCACAGAAAAAAGCCACGATCATATACACTTTATCCCATCTCCAAGTTTTGTGTCACAAGAAAACTTGTGTACGATTTTCCGAGCCTTTGTCTCTAATCTCAACAGTACATAAATTCCAAAGAATGTGCAGGAGGCACTAGCCATTCCGGAGTGGAGAAATGCTGTCATGGAGGAAATGAGAGCTTTGAAGAAAAATGAGACGATGGGAAGTTGGTTGATTCAGAGACTAGTAGGAAAGCTAATATACTTGTCTCATACTAGACCTGATATTGCATTTGCAGTTAGTGTGGCTAGCCAACACATGCATTCGCCAAAGGAAGCTCACTTGGAGGCAGTATACAAGATACTTAGGTATCTCAAAGGATCACCTGGCAGAGGATTATTTTTCAAGAAGACAGACTGCAGAGGGATATAAGTCTATATAGGTGCATATTGGGCAGGTTCAATTGAAGATAGAAAATCTACTTCTGGATACTGTACTTTTGTATGGGGGGATTTAGTAACCTGGTGGAGCAAAAAACAAAATGTGGTGGCTCGGAGCAGTGCCGAAGCGGAATTTAGAGCAGTTGCCCAAGGAATATGTGAAGCACTATGGCTGAGGAAACTACTAGAAGAACTCCAAGTTACAGTAGAATTCTCGGTTAAACTGTACTGTGATAACAAAGCGGCAATTAATATATCACTCAATCCAGTCCAACATGACCGAACCAAGCATGTGGAAGTGGATAGACACTTCATCAAAGAAAAGGTGGAGAAGGGAATCATTTGCATGACCTATGTTCCTACTCAAGATCAGGTTGCAGACATCTTCACCAAAGGGCTCGCAAGACAAAAATTTGATGATTTCTTAAGCAAGTTGGAAATGATTAACATATATGATCCAACTTGAGGGGGAGTGTTGAAATCCCGAATTTATTGCTAGGGATAAGGTTCCCGATTCAGGATAGAATATTTCCTAATTTGATTTAATTTAAACAAATCACTTCCTGATCTCTAGGCCTTAGTTTTAGGAGATTTGATTTTCATAGTTGTATTATAAATTAGGAGCCCTAATGTACCGAATTATTGATTCAATATAGAAAACAAAAGGCAATATTCCAGCTTTCACATGGTTTGCCATGGATTCTAAATAATTCAGTGCTATTGTGCCCTTTTGTTTTCTCCTTAATAATTGAATGGCAATTGTTTATTTTTGAATGAAGTGGCATAAATAATTTTTTTTTACCATCTTGAGTGGTATTTTTGGTGTTTTCCCTTTTTCTCGTACTTTTCTCACTTGAATGATAGAGTATGATACTAATAACATAAAGACCTCATGCTCTTCCACCATAAAAACTTGAGCACTTTTTTCTTTTCTGTTGAATACATTCATAGACAATCTTACACATGTAGGCTTGTTGTCGTTCTGCAAGAGAAGACGTATATATATGACATTAATAGTCTAGCAATCTTGGACACCATTGACACAGTGCCAAATGTAAAAGGTGAGGTTGAAGTACGTTTCTTCTTGTAGCCATTTTAGCATTGGTATTTCATTTGATTATTGTAGGAGATACCATAAAACATAATTTGCTAAGAGACACTACTGATTAGACCGTGCATGGTCAATTCCGCTATGTTGTCAGTTTCCATTTGCTGTATCTTTATGTTTGTTCCATACAATATACTCCGGTCCTACATTTGTTTTAATGCCCTTTGAAAAAAAATCTGAAATTGGACTCTAAAATGCAACCTGAGCGGTCATCAACAATCCCTTTTCTTTTAACCCCAAGGAGTTGGCTCAGTGGTGAATCACTTGGACTTAGTGCCTCAAGAAGCATTAGGTCTAAGGTTCGATTCTCATTGAGTGCTATCAATTCCTTAGGGCCACGTTCGTGGGCCAAAGGCCCAAGATTTATCTGATCCATGTGGAGGGGGTGTTTTGCATGGATCCCGTGGATTTGTCGGGGCAAAGTCTTGAACATCACAGTTATAAAAAAAAACCCATTTTCTTTTTCCCCTTCTTTTGGAAATGTATCTGCACCCCAAGACAATTTTCATACTTTACCATTACCAGTTGAATAAATTCGATTTCTGATTTTTTAGTTTCTAAGTCAGGTGCTTGTTCAGATATGCTTTTTAATTGTACTATTCTACTGATTTTGTTGTAAACAAGCTCAATATTTTGAAAAGCTTGTTTACCTAAACTTCACACTTTCCCGGAGGAACACTGAACCAAAAGTTTTTTGGATATCACAATAGATCCTTTTTTTTTTCTCCAGGACTTTGTGCGTTCTCCCCTAGTTTGGATGGTTGCTTCGTTGCTCTTCCTGCTAGCACTACCAGAGGATCCGTGCTGTTGTACAATGTTATGGAGCTGCATTCACATTGTGAGGTTATGGCATAAATTGGTCTTACTCACAAATGATAGAAAAAGTGATGAAATCCTGAAATGACCTCATTTTTTTTTTGGCTTCCATGAACAAATGAAAATTTCTTCAAAAATTTAGCTATTTCATTTCTAAATTTAAATTTTTCTTTGTGAGCCGAGGATTGTTCTTTTGTTACAAACTGTTAAGGAGGTTCATAGTGTCAGATACGCAACAATGAAAATCATTCTTCCTGTCACGTGGTTCATTTGCATTCATGTTTTGATATTTGTGTTTAATCAATTGCAGATAGATGCTCATCGTTCTCCAGTGGCTGCAATGGTTCTTTCTTCAAAAGGGATGTACATAGCAACAGCTTCTGAGCAGGGAACTATAATCAGAGTTCATCTAGTTTCTGATGCAACTAAGGTTGTGAATCATGTTTGGAACTTTCTGCGTCTGTGGCAGCTTTCATGTTTTATTGCTTAAAGCATGATGCCATGGACATAAATTTAGAAGTACGAGAAGGGATATGATTCTGCAATACTTGATGGTGGAGTTTACCTATATTATCACTGTTTTAAACTTTTGGTCATTAGGGAATAGGTTTAGCTTTTGAAAGTCATAGCAAATTTGTGTGGGTGTTCTTGACCTTTCAGATCAGCATTCTAAACTATCTGCATACTTGTTTGTCTTGTCAATTTCGATGTTTTTCTAGAAATTGTGAATTAGGCTTAGACTATATATAGTTAATGAGTACCAACATAAGTTAGACGTGGTTCACAGATGTAAGCTTATTGATTGGATACCAACAGGGATGTGAATAGCTTGTTCTTGCGTGCACCCTATAGCGTGTAGTTTCTTCATGCACTTGAGTTATGGCTGAGGTAACTAAGGTGCAGGATAATGTGCTAACTAGGTCTCATATCCTGCATGGGAATGTTCTCTCTACATTTTTCTTGGGCTTTTGGAATACCTTATAATACTTATCATACTAATAAAACCATACGATTATAACATGGTCTTGAGCTCGAGGAATCTTGGTTTTGACAACCTTACTAGTTCGTGCTGCATGAAAGTGAGGCAAAAAAGCCACCATTTTGTGAAGCTTCCATTTATAAATTCCAAAAACAAACGCCAGTTTGGTTCTTTCATATCAAAGTCTTTGTTATTGCATAAGGTATTTATTGAATCTAGATGTAACAGTATTACAAGAACTTGTGACGGGATTTACGAATTCATGAGTTCATGTGTATTTTGTATCAGGGAAATTAAATTCTTAGATGTAACAGTAATACAAGAACTTCTGACATGATTTATGTTTCATAACAGTATCTGCTCTGATTTTCTTATCTCCTCTATATCAAGCAAGACTTGAAAATTAGTACAATAGATCTTCTGATCTACCATAATTTTTGTTAGCAGTCTTATAGCTTTCGGAGAGGGACATATCCTTCAAATATATTTTCGTTGTCATTTGCGCCATCTGTGGAGCTGCCAGATATTCTGGTGGCTACAAGTTCTTCAGGTTCAGTTCATGCATTCTCTCTTGGATTTGCTTTATGTCAGAGGTAAGAACTAAAATTGGACTATTTTTTTTTTTTTGATGATTTTCGATCATGTCCTCAGTCTAACTTGACTTATTTTCCTTTATACCTCATGATATTGCCCTAATAGACATTGACCAGAGCCTTTTCCCCCTTTATTCCTTTTTCTGCTCTAAGTTATCTGTCTTTATTTCTTATCTTATTCAGTATCTTCTTCTTCTTCTTCCTTTTTTTTTTCCTTCTTCTTTCTGTTTATAAAGAATCTCTTTTTCCTTTCCTTTTCTTTTCCAATGTCATTTTTCTTTCTTTACTTTTTTTCTCATCTTGTCTTGGCACTTCTATATTAGAGAGACTAACAAATTATTTCAACTTTTACAAACCTGCCTACTGATTTCCAATAGTCTCACATATCCACACACATGTGTGCGCTAAGGTTTGATTCTGGAAACTACCTTAGTCTGTGTGTGTACATATATGTATGTATCTTCCTTCTGGTAGTTTCCAGAAGCATCAAGATAACAAAAGTTTGTAATATCAAAGAACTATTTTTGAAGGATTACTGTATTTGACTTGGTCGCTAAAATCTGCTTCTCAATCTTCACATCAGAAGAGAATAAAATGAAAGAAAGTAACCAGACTTATGGATCTAGTGAGAAGACTCTATCTTCATGTTAAAATAGGAATTGGTGCAAATTTATTCTGTCAGGAAAAGGCTGCAATTGAGATTTTAGTTTTGACACCAGACAGTTGCACGTACATCTGCATGCACACGTTTGTGCGTCCATGTACATTTGTACATCTCCTTAGTTGTGTTGATTACTATACATATATGCATCTCCAAGTGCATTTACTCTGATTTAGAATTTACATTTGGTCGTATTTGGAAATTTGACCAGAGACGGAGGACATATATTTAGATATGATGGAAAA